CACAGTGCTTGTGAATTTTCTTCTTTCAGAAAACTCAAAATTATTTCATGAAAGTCCTAGCAGAGTATAACGGGAGAGTGTGACAGGTCAACTCCCTGGTCAGAAAGCTCCCAACCATACTTTATCTCTTCTCAATTACTGTCGCACAAATGACACTTTACCCACAAGTTAGACACCTGTGTGACCCTTTGACTCCCATGTCTGCAGATTCCCAGGTGTCTCAACCACTACCCATCCTCACCCCATCATGAAATATCCCATTTTTGCTGTTGGCATATGATAATATCGTATTCAACCTCACATTTTGGTCACAGTTCATTTTAGAATTTTAATCTGATCAGGTTGCTTTCTATCTCTTTTTTAAAAATTTTCTTCTAATTGATTATACATGACAGTAGAATGCATTTTGACACATTATACATAAATTGAGTATAACTTCTCATTCTTCTGGTGGTACATGATGTAGGATCACACTGGTTGTGTACTCATATATGCACATAGGTTTTTAGTGTCTGATTCATTCTGCTATCCTTCTTTTCCCCATATCCCTCCCCGTCCTTTCACTGCCATCTGCCTAATCTGAAATTTCTCTATTCTTCCCCCATCCCCTTCCCCCATTGTGAATTAGCATCCACATGTTAGAGAAAACATTCAGCCTTTAGCTTTGGGGTATTGGCTTATTTATTTAGCATATTCTCCTGTTCCATCCATTTACCCACAGATGCCATGATTTCATTCTTCTTTAAGGCAAATATTCAATTGTGTGTATATACCACACTTTCTTTATCCATTAATCTGTTGAAGGGCACCTAGGTTCATTCCATAATTTAGCTAATAAGAATTGAGCTGCTGTAAACATTGATGTGGCTGCATCACTGTAGTATGCTGATTTTAAGCCTTTTAGGTATAAACTGAGGAGTACAATTGCTGGGTCAAATAATGGTTGCATTCTAAGTTTTCTGAGGAATATCTATTTGGCTTTCCACAATGGATGCACCAATTTGCAGTCCCATAAGCAATGTGTACATTTTCCTCCACATCCTTGCCAACATATTGTTGCTTGTGTCCTTCATAATTGCCATTCTGACTGGAATGAGATGAAATCTTAGAATAGTTTTGATTTTCATTTCTCTAATTGCTAGAAATATTGAACATTTTTGCATATATTTGCTGATCAATTGTATTTCTTCTGTGAAATGTCTGTTCAGTTCCTTAGATGATTTGTTGATGGGGTTGTTTGCTTTTTGGTGTTAAGTTTTTTTGAGTTCTTTATATAGCATGAAGGTTAATATGGGCTGGGCGTGTGGCTCAGTGCTTAAGTGCACCTGAGATCAAAAACCTTGGTAAAAGAACAAAACAAAATGAAACAAACAAACTAACTAACAAAGCCACATAGAAACCTAGATTCTGTTTTTATATCCAGAGGATTAAATTATCATTTTTGAAAACACTGCAAATAATTCCTCTTAATTATAGTCAGCATAATTACACATACACTTCCCTTTAGGACATTTGTCCTTCACAAACCTGCAACCTTCTTAGACTCTCTGCAACTTGTTTAAACCTTTAGCTTTTGAGCTTTTTGCTTATTTCTCTTCCCATTTTGAAACAATCCAGTCATTTTAATTTAAGGCAAACATCATAGCTTATATACAAAAATCTTTCCTCATTAATAAACACTTTCTAAAAGATATATCCTCATCCTTTTAACTTTCTTTGTATTTTTCCCCTCAACATTTTGTTTGAAATAAGAGAAAAGGTTTGTTCCGCCTTTTTTCCCTCTCTTAAATTTAAATTTACAGGTTGAAACAAACCATATAAATATTTAAAATTTAGAGAAATTCCTACTTTTTAATAAGATACAATACCACATTTTTCAATATTTTCATCAAAATGCATGTTAAGGCTTAAGGTCTTTCTCCCTTTGTCTTTCTTTCTGTATAAAATTGCAGATGTTAATTCAAACATTAACTCTTAAAAGCCATTTTTATTGAAATTAGGGACACTATCCACTAAGCACACATCCCAGCCCTTTTTTATTTTATTTAGAGACAAGGTCTCAGTAAGTTGTTTAGGTTCTTGCTAAATTGCTAAGGCTGGCTTTGAACTTGCAATCCTTCTGCCTCAGCTTCCATAGCCACTTGTATTACAGGCAGGTGCCTCTGTACTCAGTAAAGCTTTATTTTTAAGTAAATATCCAGGGAAGAGCAAATGTAAGTTGTTTTCCTATCTATCAATATTTTATAAAAATACATTTAATAGATATTATTATCATGAAATTAAGACTACTTGAATTTACATTTAGCAATTGATTTGTCATTGTTGTAATATATAAACGATTCAGATGTTTCATCCCCATTTATAAACTTTTACTTTCTTATATTTACCTAATTTGCCCATTTTTAAATTACTATGAAAACCAAGATATCAGACCAGCATAGTTAACAAATTATTTCTTTGTCAAATCTAGAAGTTTATATTTAAAAGAGAAAGCAATGGACATTGCATCTTAAACACCTAACAGAGATAAATATAATCCCGAATGGCCAGCAATCTGGGAAAAAATGTTAACAATTTTAGACATTTTATTAACTTATTTATTTATTGGAGAGGGGTACCAGGGAGTGAACTCAATGGCACTTGGCCACTGAGCCACATCTCCAGCCCTACTTTCTTATTTGAGACAGCATCTCCCTGAGTTGCTTAGTGTCTTGATTTTGCTATGGCTGATTTTGAACTCAAAACCTCCTGCCTCAATTTCTGGAGCTACTGGGATTACAGGTGTGAGCCACTGCTCCTGGCTAATTTTAGACATTCTGAATTTTATCTTACCAACTTATTTAAATTATCTAATTTTTGAGATGTCTACTTACAATGAATTCTACTTATGAGAGAATAATATGGTAATATATACTTATTGACTTACAAAATGAGAGTTGAATAAAAATTATATTCACGAGAAACTGAATCAAGCCAGGGTCATTTGTTCATATGACTATTGTCATTTGGATATGGAATGTTCCTCAAATGCTTATGTGTCTGTTGACTCCATTTGACCAATTTGCACCAGTTGTATTTATAATGATAGATTTAACAGCACTACAAAACTTATTTTGTTGTTGTTGTTCTTGATGGAGATTACGATGCCTTGAATTGGGTAGGGGATTCTGTACTTAGAAAGTAAGAGCTCTAAGTACCTTTCTACATTTTCTTTTCCTTTTTAAAATTATTATTCAAAATTCCTCTTCAGTTTTATTCAAGGGAACATGTAGTGTTGTACAATCATGCTCTGGTGCTCTAGTTGTTTACAGGATATTCTAAAATAAAAGGACTCTGGAAGGTTTTCATTGAGTATAACCTGCCATAATATGATGCAAACTATGCTTCTCTATGATAAGTATAATATAGTCATATACCATGCAGCCTATACAATAAAGTCATTTAGTCTAACACAGTTGACCCTAATTTTTGACACTTCCATTGTTTAAAAATACACATGGGAATAAAACCCTATATGCTTACAATTCACCTAGAGCACTTTAAAAACAACTGATTTTTTGTTTTGGATTCTTAACATATATATTATTCTCATTTAGTACCCTCTTTATACAGAATCTCATAACTCCTTCATTTTTGTAATAACATTTAATTTCCTTATTTTCCATATACTGGCCCTGCTAAAATAGAATATAACATCTTTCATATGATAGGAACCAACAAAGAAATTTTTCTTTAACTCCCTCTTTACATTTTATGGTAAGTAGTCAGTGGAAAATGCATTTATAGATCATTTCTAGGCAAATTGTGAAGCTAATGACGGACTTGTTTCTATCTATATGAAGTCTCTTTGTTTTATTAGCAATGGACAAAGTTACTATTCTGTATTTAGTTGCATACATACTACAGAGATCATATATGATCAAATTATTTATTACTGCACTATAGCATGTAGAATATAATCACAAATTGTAAAGATTTTAAGGCCTAGTCAAAAGACAAATAATAAAAATGATTACTAAATAAGCAATGCAACTATCATTGGCAGTTATTGTGAAAGTTCAAAGATTTACATCTGATTATGAAAAATGGGAAAATGTCTTGAAGAAGATAACATTTGAACAGAACTTTAAAGGACTAATGGCATTTAACTGTTTGGGTTGGAGGTAGAGAAATGCAACACCACCAGGCAAGGTGTCCTAGCTGCAAGGGGGCTACATGGTAGTTCAAAGCTATTCAACTGTGCAATCTGGTTGTCATAAACACTGTATAAATTGGGAAAACACTTTAAACAGCAGGTGTCAAAGGACCATGACTCTGTCTCCTTGTGTTCCTATTATCTATTGCAATGCAGAACATATATGGTGAATGGTGAATGGTAATGAGAGACCAAATTAAAATATGCATTAAAGGTTTTTTCTTTTAGTTATAGATGGACATAATATTTTTATTTTATTTATTTTATTTTTTATGTGGTGTTGAGGGTCTAACCCAATGCCTCACATGTGCTAGACAATTGCTGAACAACTGAGACACACCTCCAGACTAAAATTTGTTTTCTCTTTAAACTAGAATGGTAGTAACAGTATATACCAGCATTTATTATTATTGAGGCATTCAGGCTAAGGCAGCTGTGTGACAAGTTTGAAGTTCCAGAAAAGCAGGAATTGCATGTGGAATGAGTGGGAAATGTGTTTGGGGCCATCTAAGGGAAAGTTTGCAAGCTATCATATGGCCTCTGTACTGCACACATCCTAAGTACAACAGGGAATCAGGACAGTCTATTGGCCATGACCTAGTTCTGTGGTACAAATGAGTGGGCAGTATGGGGACAGCTCAGTGTGGTGCATCATGGGATCACACTTGCAAGTTGTTTAGAAGGCTTAAGACTCTGCCCTCATTTTTCTACTTGGTGTTCACCTAAAGGCCCATCCTTGTGAACTGTAAAGGGAATTGGGGGACATGGAAAGATGGAAATTCTCCATGGAGGGGAATTACAACGCTTAGGGACATGAGAACCTGCCACAGAACAGAAGAGTGTTGGTTCTGTTATGCCTGATGAAGAAAAGGAAGGGGTGGTCAGCACAGAACTTTGGTGACCATGATGTGCAGTCAAACACTTCATCTATGTCAGCTGCTGCAGCCTCAGTGCCTTCTTCATTCACCTCCACGACACTCTTGTGCACAACTTTGGATAGACACAGGTCTGTCTCAGTTGACATTCCAGAGAAATCAGCCTGGCCATGTTGGAAGGCATCAACCATTCCCAAACGCTGAAGCACAGACTGCATGTCGTAATCCTCCTGCAGTTTAAATCTCGAAAGGAGAACTTCTAATCCAATATTCTGCAAAGAGGCTGCCTTGGTCCAGGCTATGAATTTCTCAAAAGTAAGGTTATTTTCCACCTGAAAGACCAGAATCACAGGTTCATATTCAGACTATGGCACGTATCTATGGACACACACACACAGACATTTCCTTGAACATTCAATGTTGACTGCCCACACAGGATGGTTAGCTCCTTCAGCTGCCCAGAAGCTTGTGAGAGCTCTGACTTGTCCACCACCCCACGTGCAATCCCATATGTGATTTCCCTGCAGGAAGACTGTGGCTGCCCCTCCTTATCCATCCACTAGCAAAACATGTTTATTTGTGAAAAGCCTCTAGATGTGTCAGTGGTGCTTTTCTAATGGTATTTATTGGTTTGAAGGAGGCTTAGTTTTAACACAATAAACCATTGCTAGCAAGCAAAAGAGACTGGGAAAGGAAGGGCTCTCAGTGTGAGCCTCTCCAGGACAGGGACATCTGTCTAAGGTGGAATGCGACGCTGTTTGTGGAAACTCATCATCACAGTTAGGGACCTGAAGAGAGGGAAAGCCTATGGGAGCTGCTCTGTACAGAGACCCTTTAGGTCATCACAGTGCACTGTCACCCTTGAGAGGACTGTTAACTCTCTTGCAATAAGGATCATACCACAAGGAATCAAGGAGGACAGGACTGGGCCATTTGGGCTTTGGGTTGGAGATACTGTGAAAGAAAGGCACAGGGTGTACCCAATTCTTCCCACTGAATTTCTGAGTTCACAGGTGTGCAGCCCCTCCTGACTCACCACACTAAGGTCCTCATCTGGGAGCAGGATGATCATGCTCAGTGTCTTGCCAGCGTAGGGCAGTTCCACCAACTTTGTCTGGAACTCACTGATGTAGATGTAGTTAAAATTGTCTTCCTGCCACATCATCTGTACTGTCCTTTCCTCCTCCTGAGAAGAATGACTACATGAGCACAATATTTATAACAGTATGAAAAGGGGCAAAAAAGATATGTGTGTGTGTGTGTGTATATATATATATATATATATATATATATATATATATATATATATATTTTCTTTTTGCTTTCTATGTAAGCAGCTTATGTCTATAGGAAGATATTTGTGTCCAGAATGATATTAAACCAATACATGTATGAGAGTTCATCAGAGGCAGTTAGAGTGCTAATAGGATATAAAACATAATAGACAGCAAGTATTATTTATGTGCATCATTTTTTTTTCAATGAGTTTATAATTCATTAAAAGAGATTATAAGTTTGAAATTATGATTAACCACATATACCTTTACAAATTTAAATTTTCTATTCAATTTTTTCATCAGAATAGCATAATTTTTGAAAGTCTCTCCCTACCTGGTTTACTTTGAAAGCCATTTCTTCCGTGCATGATTTGTCAAATGGCTTGTCCCACATTCCTTGGAAGTAGATGGCATTGACAAGAACCAGCCTGACCAGCTCATCAATCGAGTTCACTGGTAGCATCTCTGGAATTTTACCTTTCAAGACAAGCACAAACTCTATCAGTTGGTTCTTCTGAATATGTGGTGAATATTCATGACACAATGTCTTGGAGATCCAAACATTCTGTTTTCAAATGTGCTGAGTTTGGATGATAGGTATAAAAGTAAAAAATCCCAGCTATGAGTGGTATTCATGATGACAGACATTGGAATAGCTACCAAGTTGATGATGGTGAAAGACTTCTAAGTCACTGTAGGAAAGCAGGTTGGTACAAAGCAGAAATTTGACAACAGGTTGGAGAAGAAGACAAGCAGCAAAGGAGAGAGGGGCTGGGTAGGAGCTGACATTACCTGCTGTGGGTAAGAGCAGTGTCAGGTCTAAGGCCCTATGGTCAGGTCCAGTTCTAACATTGTACAGCTACCTGGCAACATTCCAGAGGCAGCCGGAATTGAATAGCTCCAGAGCAGGGACATAGGAGGAGTTTCTGGAGACTACAGAAGAGATTTTATGATTGCACCCTCCTGGTGCCTGGAATCCCTGGAACAGATAATGATTTGGGTAGGTGAAGGTATGTCCTTCTTTCCCTGTATATCAAGTGCTATGGTTCCAAGGAACTAAGAGCATCCCTGCTAATTTGCTGCCTCTAGAGGGCACAAGAAGAAAAGATTCCAAGAAGAAATAGTGGAATGTACTTCCTCTATTTTTTACTATCTCATTTGTTAGCTGAAATAGGGACATTCCTAGTGGTGTGTTAGTGCCTGAATAGTTCAAACATCAAACCATTATTGATCTTGAGAACCAAGGTTAGAGCTTTTCATACTCTAAAACAGAAATGAGTATGTTTTAACCTCACAAGCAGGGTGTTTTCAATCTGTGGAATGGATCAGTTCTCAGAGAGGCTCTGTAGTTGACTAATCAAATCTAGGCTTCTCAAGTCTTATGAAGGGCACTTAAATGAGAGATAGGAAAAAAGAAGTAGGAGAAGTCATCTTAACATGTAAAAGTGGCAGAAGTGAAGTCCAAACTGCCTCCAGGAAGAAGAGGGCCAAGGGCATGACTTGGGAAGATCTGGCCATTGATCTGTTCCCATAGATGAGAATCACCTGCTGTGTGAACAATACAGGCCAGTGACATGTAAAGTATTATATGGGAAATCTGACCTATGAGTTTCTTTTTATACTTGCATTAGCCACTCTGGCCCTGGAACAACCAACAGCATTAATTGTCTGGGTTTGAAAACCTGAGCATTGATCAGATCTTCTATGAGACACTAAGGTTCACAGGCACCAAGCGGCTCAGCCAGGCAACCTTGCTCTGATGGTTCTGCAACACTACTGACAATAGCAGTGGTGAGGAGAGGTAGAGGAGAGAAGAGAGGAGAACAGATGTGGGGTGGGAAGAGAATGAAATAACTGATGATTCTGACCTTTCGTTTCTTTTGAGACCCAAGCATTTATATGCTCCCTGGACTTCTCTGAATCTTTGATAAAGGACAGCAACTCCAGCTCCGAGTGGTAGAACTGAAGACAGGACTCCTTAAATGTCTTTGGAGAGAAATAGTTCAGGTGGCCAGGTTGCTCAATAAAATGACAGTGAGCTTCAAAGCATTCTGAATGCTAGCTTTAGGCTTTTCTTAAAATTAAAAACATGATCAAATCTTAAGCTACTTGATGGTGAAACATTTTAGTTTGTAAGAGATATTTTCTGAGCCCTGAAAAATCAGAGTTAATAAATGATATTTGAGACATTGCGTAAATTGAAATGATATGTTATGATTGTAGAATTGGGTTTTTACTAAAAATAGTTTACTGTGAGTTTCTCAAGTTCTCTCAAATATTGTTCTTTTGTTTTTGCTCATTTTTTTATTATTGGGGATTGAGCTCAGGTCCTTGAGCATGCTAGGCAAATGCTGTACCACTGAGCTATGTCCCAAGGCAGTTCATTTTGTTCTTGAGACCAGGGTGTAACTAGGTTGTGCAAGCTAGTCTCTAACTCTCCATCCTCTTGCCACAGCCTCCCAAATATGCCATACTTCCTGGTCTCTAGAGTCTCTTTTCTGTGTTGTATATCACCAGGTATTATAAATAAAACTTTTGTTCTTCTGCTGATTCAACTTACTGAGAAGAAATCACAGTTCTTTTCTCCAAAGAGCCTGTTGGCTGTTGTAAGCAAGTACTTTGACCCAGGGTTGTTAACTTGGTTGAGAAGCATCTGGAAGCCCTCATGGATGTCTTCCTCTGTGTTTAAAGACAGTGCCTATGAAGGAATGCAACAAAATTCTCTCAGTTTTGCTGTTGATCTCCACAATAATTTGCAAGCTTTTTTTCCTCAAATACTGCATAAATTTATCCTTTGAGAGGAAGTTGATTGTCAGTGAAAAGTGACACTGGTGGGATAGGTGGAGAGAGGGGCCAGGAAACTCCTGAGTAAAAATACGGGTTTGGCACCTGCACAGAGCTCTCTGCATAGTTTATAGATGAACAATAGAAAAAAAATGAAAGGGGCAAGAGAGGTTCAGATAAGGGACTATTGGTAAGTACTGCATCCTATGGACACCATAAATTTGTCAGAAATAGAGAGTAACTTGTCTCTATTTATGTACAAAGTAATGCAGTTCAAATATTAAAATAACTTGCCTCTATTTATTTACAAAGAAGATGCAGTTCAAAAAACTAAAAATCCAAACAAACATTTGGACAGGAATGCAATCATCATCATAATATTTAAAAGGAAATAAGAGTAAAAAATGAGCAATATTATTAATAAGAATAAATCAGTTCTTGAACCCTGCACTAAAGGAACATTCAACCCAGGGGCAACTAAAACAAATCAAAACCCAGAAATACATAAAAATGACAGGGAACACAAATCATATATCAATAATAATCCTGAATGTTAATGGCCTAAACTCATCAATGAAAAGATGTAGATTGGCAGATTGGATTAAAAAGCAAGCCCCAACAATATGCTGTCCTCAAGAGATTCACCTTATGGACAAAGATCCACAGGCTGAAGGTGAAAGGATGGGAAAAAAGCTTATCACTCATGGATTCATAAAAAAGCAGGGGTTTCCATTCTCATCTCAGATAATTATGGCATTTTTCAGTAAATGGATGGAGTTGGAGAATATCATGATAGGCAAAACAATCCAATCCCCCCAAAATCAAAGTTTGAATGTTTTCTCTAATATGAAGATGCTAATTCACAATAAGGCAGGGGGCACTAGAGAAGAATAGTGGTTACAACCTACAACCTTAGGTTATGTAGAGGGAAGTGATGGAAGGGAGGGGGATTGGATGTGGGGATAGGAAAGATAGTAGAATAAAACAGACATTATTACTTTATGTGTATATGTGACTGAATAACCAATATGCTTCTACAACATTTACACTCAGAAAAATGAGAAATTATATCTCATCTATGTATGCTATATCAAAGTGAATAAATGCATTCTACTGTCATGTACAATTAAAACAAATTAAAAATTAATTAAAAAATAAGCCCAGTACCCTAGAGAAAGATAATATATGTATATTATATGATGCTTTATATTTTAATAAAGGTGTCATATTATGTCACAAGAAGGGTTTCATTTGACTCTGAAATACACAAATGACACAATTTATATTCAATGATGTTAGTGATGGAAATAAAAAATCAACAACACTACAAATAAAATACCAACAACATGGAAATTAACCTACTAACTAATTATTAAAAAGAATTACTAAAGAAATAACTCTCCTATGTATCAATCAAATAACTAACATCTTGTCTATTTTTCTCTTTCGGATTACTCAGCACGAACTTTTGACATTGTATAAATAAGTGACAGAACAGCACAACTTTGGGACACAATCTTAAATGACAGTATTGAAAAAAGCTATAAAACTAATTTTTCTAGAATTTGTAAAATTACTTCCATTTCCCAAATAATTAAATTTAACAACATATATTTTCTCAGTCTTCCAGTTGGTCAAAATACCTGCTTTCTTTGGTAAATATTAGCCAGAAGATAACAAGAAAAGGCTTATCACCTGGTAAAGATGTACAACCAAATTGCCAAACCTTTGTATCAGCTGGATTGCCCTCTACTGGACTATATAAGGCATTCAGCTAAGAGGTCAATGAGACTTAGTTTGACAAGTTAATTCAACAGGAAAAAATATAAACATCTTACATCCCACACAAACTGAAGTTTCCTGAAGAAGTTAAAAACAAAAAGACCTTTTACTAAATAAATTTTTACCATGAAAGAAATTGGCAGAATGCCAATTCCAGAAGTAACCAATTTGAATCATTTTGAAAAGTGGTAATACAGGTTTATGTAGTTTCAGTCTTTTCAACCTTGGAGGCAGATCTGGAACAACAGTAGTAACAGGCAGGAGCAACAGGCATAACGTAATGGCAATCTTTTGTGAATATTTGGGTATTAATATAATCATATTTTTGTTAGTCTATTCACTCTACAGATGTTTTCTTATGCATAAACATGAGTCACAGTGGACATTTGCTAAGTAGCTCATATCTGTTAAGTCTCTTTTCACAGCAAGCATTAGAAATTCTTGGAGCCATTTCCCCCTGTGAAACACCATTTTGAGTAGCAAGTTGTTTTTCCTCTGTGGCTCATGCCCAGGCCTGAGATTTGCAGTAATGTAGGACCAATTTACCATCACTGCCCAAACATCCCTCATCTGGGGGATAGAAATGGACTATTTCCCATAAGTGAACAACTGTTCCAAGGCCACAAGTTTAAGGAACTTGTTGATGAGGTGAATGAGTCCTTGCATGGTTCAGGTTCTCTCTACAACCCACATTTTGTTTTCATTATAGGGATGCCCCGTACATAGCCTTTAGTAGGATGTCCATTTTTATCTTGTTGTCACAGGAAGGCTCCTCTCCCTGACAAGACTGAAACAGAAGGAGGGGGCAGTGGAGTGGCTGTACCTGGGGAGACATCCCTAAGTCCTTCATGCCAGCAGCAGCAGTTGAAGAGAGTTTCCACACTGACCTTGACAATTCTCAATGAGGTAAACACTAAAAATGTTTCTTTTCTTCTAAAGAATGATTCTCAATAATTATTTAATTTAGAAAATAATATGAATGTTGTATTATCAAACCAAAAATATGATAAAAAATAGCTAAACACAATCAATTATCTTAATGTTACAAAGGAAATAATGATATAACAAAACTCCTAATGCACAATTTTAGAAAAGGGTGAGAAAAAATTCTGAGGAGTTTAGAGAAAAGCACAAAATGCTCAATTAGTTCAAGAACTGATCCTTTCAAAAAAAGCACACGTATCTACCAATATAGGGAGACATTGTAAGAAAAAAAATTACAAATACAAGGAATGTTATTAATGAAAAAGAGACTACACAGTAACCCCTGCAAGCAAGCCCCACAACATCTCACTGGAGGAAACTCCTCAGCTCTCTCCCTCCTTTCCTTCTGTACCCCCTCCCTGAAATGGTCCAGGCTCACCCCTCCTTCCTCAAAAGTTCTGAAAAAAATCAAGGAGGGGATAGGAGACAAGCCTTGCAGACCAGTCCCTCCTTCTCGTTGACAGGAAAGCTTACCCGAGCCATCTGGTCTTTGGTGTTCCCCTTTGCCCCCAGGAGCACCATGGCCAAGGCAGAGGAGATGCTCAGGGGAGAAAAAAACACATTTTGTGAAGGTCTGTCTTGACACAGCATCTTCAAAACCTGGATGGCAAAGGTGCCATTTGCTTTTGAAAGAGAATCCATGATTCAGGGTCTGGGGGCAAAGAAGACAGAGAAACACAATGAAATGGGGCTGAGGACACTGTGTGTGCTCTCTGCTTGGCTTTCACTTTTCTTGTGAATTCAGAAAATTTCAGAGTACCAGTGAAAGCCATGGGAGTAGATTAGACATGTGAGGAAGGGGCTGGTGTCTGTAGAACATCAAACTGTTTAGGAAAGGAAGAGCAGAAAAGCATGCTGAGGAGAACAGAAGTTGACAGGTCAAAGAAAGAAGAGTGAGTAGTCAAAGCCAGAACAAGGTGGTGCTGCTTGAAGCCAGAGACAGTGGAGGGTAAACACCATGGGGCAGTTCTATGCAGTAAGACCCTCCCTCACCAGGGGAGGGCCTTAGATCCTGGGAATTGGAATTCCTGGCTTCCAATCAGCAAATCACCCTTACAACTTCCCAGTTCTCAAAGATTCCCCCAAACCTATGTCCAAGCCTGCCTCAGCTCCCTCCCAAATCATTCTATCCCACTCCACTTCTCCAGCCTCTGTCATCCTGTGCCTAGTACAAACCACATGTCTCCTCTGCAGACCCTCTGAACTCCCTGACCCTGAGATCCCCAGTACTATCAGCCCCTGTTCACTAAAATGCAAATCAAGTTGGCTGGGGAGCCTCAGATCATAGGCTCCCCCACATCAGGAACCCAGATGGATAGACACACAGAATACTGAAAGGGAAGTGCTATCTTGATCCTATGAACCCTCCCTTAAATTGGTAGTGGCCCTAAGGATAAGCTCAAAATGTGTTTTGTAAATGGCATCTCACCTGCCTGGCCCTATCCATTGCTGTATTTCTCCTCTGTCACAACCTCCACCTCTATCCACCCTGACCCCCCCCCCCCATCACCTCTGAGCCTTGGCAAACAGTGATGTCCAACTTAAAAGGCTCCCTACTCCATCCCTGTCACCAGGCTCCAATCACTCATTGCTGTCTCCTAGGCTCAGCACCAGGAGGCCTCTGATGTCCTAGTCTAGAGCTCCCTCCTCCCCCCAACCTGACTCATCCCTCCTTATTGTAATTCCTTGTCTCATTGATTGTTGGGCCCACAAGACTGGCTGCTCTCTGCAGGAAAGTTGCCTGGCATCCTGATTCTAAGCACCTGCAAACATGCCCAGGAAACAGCAAGAGCTCTATCAATTAGGGGGAAATCTCAGATAAATAAAGGGTGCTTTGGTTTAGAATTGGATACTAGAGATTTTAAAAGCACAGAGAAAGTTAAGGCTCCCTAAGGAGAGAGGAGAGGTGAGAAAATAAGGCCAGTAGGTGGGAATGGTGTTGGAGCACAAACACCCATTATGGTGAGGTCCAGGGCCAGCCACGGGCAGCCAAGAGGCAAGCAGAGAAGCCAGGAGGCTGTGCAGCATCTTTGCCTTCTTGAAATCTCTCTCCCCTTCTCTGAGACCAGTCCTAAGCAAGATCCCTCTATACCACTAACCCCCATGATCTCCCAAGAAGCTGTTTTCTAAACCCAGCAATAACACTGACTTTTTAGATTATCTTTTTTCATCTCAGCCTCTGGCATCCCTTCTCCCAGTGGTGGCCTGAGGTTTCTAAAACTTGCCTTGTTCCACTGTCACTTCAGCCCCTACACAGAGAAGTCCTCACCTGCCACCTTCCACACAGTCTCTCCCTCAGGTCTCAGTGCTGCTAGCCTGGTACTGACTTCTGAATCACAGGACCAGGATCCACAGCTGTGCCTCTGGGGCCTCTGCACTCCCAGAGGCCTTTTATCAGGCCTGTTTGGCTGTGGGAATTCCTGCCTTCCAATCAGCAAGTCACTGCCCCAGGGAAAAAATCCAGTGTGACCTGGGTTATGGCAGGGGATTGGGTCTTCTCCCTGCCCAGAGATAGGTCACTAATCCTCTTGCTCTTGCTCCCCTAGCCTGGCCTCTGTCACCCACTGGTTTCCATTGGAACACCAAGGGAGACCCTGGGGTGGAGTTGGGCAAAGCACATTTTCTAGAGGATTCTGAGAGTGAAAGTACTCTGAAACTGACAATCAAAGGCAGGCTGCAAAGTCCCCTGGGAAAAACACAGTGGGGACTGGGGAAGGGCACAAAACCTACAACTATGGTCTTCCCTACTGACAGAAAGAAAATACAGAATGAGATTTTAGGGGAGGAAAGTCCTATATTTCTGTATTCTGAGCCTCCTGTGTGACACAAAGGTGGGATTCTGATTTAGGACACCTGTGTTCTCTATGAGGGTGCCAGAATGTGTCTACTTACCTTATGTGCTGTTGTTGTGAATGCAAATTAGCCCCATCACTATGGAAAATGGTAAGGAGTTTCCTCAGGAACTAAAGGTAGTGCTACCTACCACATGATCCAGTTATACCACTCTTCTCTGTGTCCATGTGAAGGAATCAAAGTCAGCATAGTACAGACACAACTGCATACCCATGTTTGTCCCAGCACTGTTCACAAAAGCCAAGTTATGGAATCAGCGTAGGTGTCATTAGCAGATAAATTCATCAAAAGAAAAATGTAGTAAGTATATGTGTACAGTAGAGTTTTATTTACCATAAAAAGGAAGGATATGTGATTTGCAGAAAAATGGATGAAACTGGAAAACATCATGTTATGGAAAATAAATCTCAGAAAAACAAGTATCTCATGTTTTCTTTCATATGTGGAATCTAGGGAATAATAGAAAGTGACATAAAATTTGAAGATGAATTAATTCGGAAGGTAACAGACAGGGAAAAGTACAAGGGGGACAGGAATATGTTACAGGTAGGGTGGATTCAGTTAGAGTACTTTACATGCATGTATGAAATTGCTACAATTAAATAATTTTTTTGCATAATTACTGTGCACTCATAATTATTTAAAAACAAATTTTTAAAAATGTTGTTTCCAAGGGCTGTGTATATAATTTAGTGGTACTGTGCTTGCCTCATATGCGCAAGGTCCTGGGCTTAATCCCCAGCACCACAAAAACAAAAATAAAATCTTTGTTTTCCAGTTTCTCCACCACTCATTATTACCAGTCTGGCACCCTCATAGAGAACACAGTTGTCCTAAATCTGAGCAGCTGAACTCTTTTCCAACTTCTTGTGCTTAGACTGTGGAACTGGTTTATAAGCAGTCCTACTCCTCATTGACAATGTGACAGAAACAGAGACTGAATCAAAATGGCTCAGGACCTCAAGTGTGCTCATCAGCAGATACCTGTCTTTTTTTCATATTAATGAAAATTAGCTTTCTCTCCTGAGTGCCTGAATTAGGGTGAGGCAAAACATTTATCAGGCACACATTCTTAGGTGGTTACCCTACATTTAGATGACCCTGAGGATAAGTGCTTTAAAATTTTTTCACTGAAGGTGCCATGCCATTTTTTAAAATAACACCTATATTTTCTGGCACATGCCTATAATCCCAGCAGCTAGGAAGGCAGAGGTAGGAGGATCTAGAGTTAGAACCCAACCTCAGCCAGTTAGCAAGTCCCTGACTCAATAAAAAAATGAAAATGTCTGGGGATGCAGTTCATCGGTTAGGTGTCCGTGGCTTTATTCCCTGTATACTAAAATAAATAAATGAACAAAAAAAAAAAATAAACAGATAAATAATGCTTGTTAAAAGATGAATATGCATACACCATAATAATAAGAGAAGGAATCTGAGACATTCTAAATTCAGTTACCAGCAGGATGGAGGAAAGAAAGATAAAAGTTTAACTGATAGTTTCAAGGTAAACCAAAAAGAAGAAAATAACTGCAGTATATTTCTTTCCAATGTTTTTAAGATCAGCCATCTAGACAAAATTTTATTGTGCTTGTAGACTCAACCAACCAAGAGGCTACAGAAAGATGTCTTTACTGACTCTCTTCCTATCCCAGGTCATATCCCTCTTCTCTCTATCCATTGTAGATTTGATGAAAGTAATCTGCACCTCCTGCTCCCGGGATCTTTATGACAAAATATCCTTAGATCCATTGGACATTTTTCTAGATGCTACATGACAATGCAGCTAGTGACTTAGGGAATTTGCCCTAGGACCAGGCTAGCAACATGCACAGCTTGATAAATCCATGTATTTCAGAGATCTCTCCATCTCAAAATTATGGTTTAACAATATTCACCCCTTTAAATCCTACAATTCAGGATATTCACAGAACTGTACAACTGCACCACTGTCTGAGTCCAGAATATTTACATCACTTCAAAAACAAATGGGATACTCATTTATAATTATTTTTCATTCCCTCCTCTCTCTCTCCTCCAAGTCCTGGCAATGACTAGTCCTTATTTTTCTCTATGTATTTGCTTATTGAGAGCATTTAATATAAGGAATCATACAATATGAGGTATTTTGTTTACTTCCTTATTTTACTAACCTGATATTTTTAAGGTTTATCCTCGTTGGTTCAAGATACGGGCATTTATCTCTTTTTGTGTTGGAAAAATATCCATAATAATATTGAGTGCATATATGTTCATTTTTAAATTTCATCATTTGGTAGGCAGTGAGTCCTTTCCATCATCTGTCTGTTAAGAATAACGTTGTTTTGAACATTTGTGTAAAATTTTTGTGTAGACATATTTTCTTGAATTTACCTTGAATATAGACCTAAGCATGAAATTTCTTGTTCATATGATAACTCTGAATTTATCTTCCGGTGGAAATACCAAACTGATTTGCAAAGCTACTGCACAAATCTAAATGTCCACTAGCAATGATAGTTTTAGTTTCTCCATGTCTATCATCTGATTGTTGCTATTATGATGTTTCACTAAAGCTTTCACAATTGTATTTCCCTGATTTGTCATTATGGCGAGATTCTTCTCATGTTCTTATTGGTCTATTAAATATCTTTCTCAAAGAAATGCCCATTCAAATGCTTTTGCCTAATTTTATGTTGGGTTAGTATTTATTTTACTGTTGAGTTTTTGAACACCAAATTTTTAATTACATGAGTTCTGGTTACTTCCTCATCTCTGGGTGAGTTCTAAATTTTCCCAGGGTTAAAATATTTATCCACTATGTAACAAGTCAGGTGACTGTACCATCTCTGTGAGACAGACTGATGGACTCATCTTTTCCTGACTCATGCACTTAGGATGCTC